ATTGTCTTACAATGAATAAACGCATAATGACAATCCTTTTTCGATTTAAACGTTCATGCACGTTGGCGTTAACATAACGTTAATTTTAACGTTATAGTTTACTTTCATCAATGAGTATTCGTCGCTTCTCATTATTTATTCGACAGCTTACAAATGCCAAATCGAATTAAATAACATAGGGATAGTCGTGTATATAAAATTGAATATATGAAACTTATCTATATTAGATCCACTATGGAGCCCAAAAACTATAGCACTTTACGTTCTCTTTTAAAGCAAGAGCAAGGCGAAAAAATTGCTCCTTACATTTTCAAACTAAAAAACACCCAGACTGTCAAGAACTATCCGGACCAAGAAAAGATAACTTATTATTATTACGAGATTTACCAAGAGAAAAGACCAGAAAAAGCTTTTAACGGACACCTTTCAGGAACCAAGGAAAAAAAGAAAAATAGAAGAATACGAGGGTCATTATATGGAGGGACAATCCTAATGCTTTTGCTACTATTACTTACACGAGAACGAGTGCGTCGTTTTATTTTAAGGCAGCGCGTTAAGTTTCTCCTCGTATAGCTTGCACTCCGAATTCTGAAGTAGTCATATACAATCAGTGTTAGCATAAAGCTTTAGTAATTTGCTTAGTTTTGTTCTCTAAATATAAAGCACATTGCCTTTTTATTTTTGCAACAATGAAGTTTTTGTTATTACAACGCATATTCCACACTAGTATAAATTAGTGTCACACGATCATGACTAGGCCTATTATGTCTTTAGCATCTCCTTTCTTTTTTAATAGAATGAGACAAAATTAATTTAGTTTTCAACACAGTTTTTTGATTAACCCAATGGAGGGAAAAACTGGCCTTAATGTTTTTTAATTTTTCGGGATTGTTGTCGATCTTTACCCTGACAAGAACCTTGCCAATTATGGTAATAGACACCTTATTTGCGGAGATTGCAAAATTTCGGTAATAAATGTCATTTGTTGGGGAGGAGTAAATTGGGTACTTCGGTTGGAAAAGTCTTCCGCAATAACGTTCATTCTTTTCTGTGTAGGAGGTTGGTGTGAGCTTACTGAAAGAAAAAAAAGTAATTGAAATGCAAAATAATGCTAACCTCCAGGGCCACAAAGTGGCAGAATACTGACTCTACAAGTGGCATCGAGGCCTTGTCAGTGACTAGTTTCGTTGTGTGGAATGGCCAGGCACGATACAAAGCAGGGAATTTGAGATCCATAAAGGATGATTCTACCATATCGCCTAAATGATATGAGTGTGCGCAAATTCAGTGAATGAATATAAAGCCAAACAGCTCATCAATATTAATATACCCATGTTTGTAAAAATGGCCACTTCCCCCGGGCCACCCCTTGCACTGAGTTGTTGGTTGATTGCTTTTTTCCCTCGAAGATGGACTTTGATGAAATCCTTTTTGCGTTGAAGTGGTGTATAGCCCAACGGTTTGAATTCCGAATTTAGGATGGGTATCCCTTCAACAACGCATGAAAAATCAGGTCGACGCTTTGTTCCCTTCACAGAGCTGTTCATCAGAGGTTCGTATTCCTTGAGTGGATTAAAGAAAACAGGTCGTAGAACAGGGTAAAGATATCGAACACAATGAAGTTCCTCTGTTATCTTGGCGGGGGGGGACATCGGGGATAACCCTTCTGAAATTCATTGATAGCATTAAGTAATAAAACTTGAAAAGCTGAACCTCAAGCCAACTTACAGTTCATTAAATGTACGAGCCGCAATTCTGCTTAATTCGGAAGTGTCATCAGCCATGTAACTGTCGAGGCCAAGAGCGTGTTTCCTGCCAGACTCAAACAGTGCACTTGAAATAGATGACGGGATAATGGGATGTTCCATGGTGAAGGGATTGTAGCAATAATTTGACGCCATTCGCGTGTCGTGAAGAAATCCGGATATGGGCATTTGGAAGAAAGAACAATGATCGATGATAAAGCACTGAAATACAGTTGCAAAGATAGATTTAGTAAAAAATAAGTTCGCTCTTCACATTTGATATCACAAAATGCTCACAGGATCTCGTATAAATCATTCCAGGTTAACCCAGAGTTCCTAGCCTTTTCAATGACCTTCAATTGATATCGCCGAAATTTCCACGTGACGTTGATATTGTCGACTTCCCACTAAAGTACAGAACCGATTAGGATTTAGATGGATCAAATTCAGCACACTACATACATCGGTTAAAGATTCCTGTTTAACGAGCTGTTCGATAGCTGCCAAATCTATCTCTAGCTGCTCGTTGGGATCGTCAAGGTTATTGGGTTCCTCTGGTTCGGCATTAGTGCGTGGAGGTAATGTGGACTCCTCGGTATAGATTGACGATCTTATCCTCTGCTAAACCAGACAAGGATGAAAAACGTATGTGTATTGACCACGTATATGCAAGCAACTTAGAGCATCGGAATCTCCAAAGCGTACCTGAACATTTTCATCATTTCTAGTGCAGGATTCCCCCAAAACCTTTTCTATGACATTTTTGCCGTCATAGGCGCCGCTGTTGCTAATTTTAGTCTGCAGAATTCAAAATTCTCATCGTTAATGTGAATGATTTACATAATAATAACACACCATTTGAAATATACTTACGTCACTTGAGATATTGTCATTGATTTCCCTCTTGCGTTTCAGAAATTTCGTACTTGCAACGTGATAATCATTATAGTGCTCGTTGATACGGCGAAATCCATCCAGGGCCACGGTATCCTAGAACATGAATATTTTCAGAAGCTGAACTTCACAGACATTGCATATAAATATCCTAACCTTGGCAATTCTTATCTTTTGCTTTATAATCTTGTGCTTCGCGGATAATTTACTTGATGC